GTATGAAGTGCTGTCCATATATTATTCCTTTTAATCCTCAAAAGAACATTAATGTCATAGTTTCACAGATGAGGAAACTGAAGCTTATAGAGGTGAGACAAGCCTCATAGCTTGGCAGGTAGCCCCAACCATGGGAGTGTAAACTGGGTTCTGTGGTGCTGTGTTACGAGCCCTGTAGGTAGGGCTATCTTCCAGTTTGGACACTAGAGGGCAATGAGAGAGCAAAGCAATGGAAGGAATTTGCCTTGGGGTCAGCACTCAATAGCCACAACAAATGGACCTTCCCAAACTCATCTTTAAAAGGTGTATTGACTGAAAGCACAGTGCTGAGAAGTCAGGACTGAACCTACTGCACACTATGATTACAGATAAGGGCAAAGATTACTTAGGATCCATCTTTAGTCCAAAGCACATCAGCCTACCGTTTCTTCTACCCATAGTATGCAACATTTATGGGTGTTTGTCTATACAAGACACATGTTTCACTTGCTTCCACTTTTCTGGTAGCTGATTCCAAGTCAGGGGTGTTGTACAAACAGCTGCTCAGCTAGACATGGGTCCAAGTTAAAGTAGCTCAGTTCACCCAAGGGCTGCAAACACACCCCAGACACATGCCCCACCACCCCATTTGCTCCAGCACTCAGAGCAGTGTGTGGCTGGTATGGCCCTGGCTCCACTGGCAGCACCGCCAAAGGACTGCCCCATCGTGCCTGTCATCCTGAGGGATGTTGCATGAGGATGAAGTCCTCAGGCTGTGGCCTACAGGGTTACCTTTTTCCTTTAAGAGAATGGGCGCTCACCAGCATTCAAGGCACTGTTGGGAATAAGAAGTCAACATTCCATGTTGTTTCAACCCTTTCCTCCTTAGACTTGTGCTGTTAGTTTCTACGTAGCTTTTCCATCATGTTTACAACTCACAAAGAGTAGAATATGTCACTGAAAACTATGGAAAAAAGCTAGTTCACATTTTGGGGAAAGTATCTTAAAATAATCAATGTGTCTTCAAAAAGTACTTTCTCATCTGTCTCAGTCCTGTGTGGCAGAGACCAAACAGAGCCTTTTTCAACCCAGCCACATCCCGGAGTGATGCAGCAGTAAATGAGACGCAGGCATGGACACATTTCTGGAAGCGACACTGGCCTGCCAGCCCGGGAGGTTACCCTCCAGTCTGATGGGTGGTGGTGGATTGCCTGAGTTAATGCTCAGAGAGCCTTCTCAACATGCACGGTACAGAAGGGGATTTGAGGCAGTTCTCTATCTTTAAAAGGGAAGGGGCACCAGCAATGTTTTTTGTTAGAAGTGGGAAGTTTTTGCAAACAGAACTCTAGTTAAGATGGACTTGGTGGCCTTGTAGAGGACAGGTTAAAGAGGAGGATTGGAGACAGGGAGGAGGTGTATGGATGCAAGTACTCAGGGCGGGAGGGAGCATGAAAGGTACACTTCAGGGATAGAACTAACAGCTCCAAGCTGTTGACTGAGTGTGGGAAATGGAGAAAGGGAAAGTATAAATACGACAGCCTTTTCTTTGAGCATCAATCATATGCAAGTTGCTAAGCGTTTTATAGGTATGTAATTCTGACAAATCAGATGAGGTAGGAATTACTGTCACCCACCTTTCATGGGAGAAGAAACTGAGTCACCAAAGGCCGTCATTTCTCAAAATCACTAGGATTTGAACCCAGGCCAGGGAGTTCCAAACCTTCATTCTTCAGATATGCCACAGAGTCTCTTCTCCTGTCTGGGGGACATGGATGACAGTGACTTTACTGGCTGAGATGAGAAGTCTGGAAGAGCAGGTGTGCGTGTGTGGGGAGTGAGGGTGGTGGGCAGACAAGGGGGTGTTTCGGACACATGTGGAGTGTACTTGTTCTGCCAGCGCATCAAGTCCGGCAGGCCTCAGGTCCCAGTGTGGAAAGGGAGTGGGTTTTCATTAAAAATAATGAAACATCTTAACTTTACATCTCCCTGTACGGCCCCGGAAGGTGACTGGTTAGCCAGAGACGGGTAAGATTCCTCAAGGGAGGAACAGCCTAAGACAGGCACAGTCGCAGGGGGGCCATCAGGTGAGAAATTGGGGATCAACAGAGGTGAGGCTCAGAACCTCACCCCCCTGTTTTGAGAGAAATCTTCTGCATCCGTGGATGTTTTGTTGCCCTTGTCTAGCTCGGATTAGCACATAGTCTACAGGCACACACCTGATCATCTACATTTGCTCTCTTACAGCACTAAACTATGTTTTCTACCTTTATCTTGCATCTACCTACCACTTCAGCATTTTATTAAAATTAAAAATAATAATAATAATAAAGGGAGAAATGTGGGATCCACATATAAATCAAGTATAAAAATCAAACGAATATTCATATCTGACCTGATTGTTTATAGTTCATAATGCATGATCAAAACCGAAAGTTTCTGTGATGACTGCCCTTGTACTGTTCACCATGTAAGAACTTATTCACTATGTAAGAATTCGTTCACCATGTAAGAACTTGTTCGTTATGCTTCAGAAGATTGGAGACTGACGAGAATTAGGCTTGAGGTGGATTAATGATTGTGCATTGAGCATTGACCCCCCTATACAGAATTTTATTGTTGTTAACAACCATTTGATCAATAAATAGGAGAGATGCCCTCTCAAAAAAAAAAAAAGAAATATCTGTAAAACTACTATTGGCTGAATTTCCCAGTCAAGCTGTTCAAGAAAGGCCTGCTATGTGGACAAAAGGAAATACATGTCTCAGCTGAAGGCTTAGCCAGAGATGCACAGATCAGGTTCGTCAGCAAGGTGCTCAGGGACTCTAGGCCGTTGTGAGTGGGGAAAGGGCTGGGTACCACACGGAAGCCTACAAATGAGACCACTCCTTGAACAAGGAGAGGCTCCCTTAATTTATTCCAAGTCCCCTCTTCATTCCAATGGATAGTGCCTCTCAGCACTGCCTGCCCATTAGAATCACTCATAAAAACCACAGATGCCCGAGCCTCACCCCAGGGCCAATTAAATCAGACGGTTGCAGGCTGGCACACGCAGTTTTGAAAAGCTCCCTGAGTGATTCTAATGTGAGGCCGGGGTTAGGGCCTGGAGCAATAGTAGCAGGTTTGTTTTTGGAGATGATCAGAGGGCAGGGAAACGACTAACATCTACAAAGTACCTTTCAGTTCATAGAGCACTTTCACATACTCGCCCTTATTTAAGGAGCATCCTGGTATTCACTGGTTGGATGGGGAAACCGTGAATCAAAACAAGAAATGACTTGCTGAAGGTAAGTTATTGACTGGAAAAGCTGTAACTACAACCCAGATCTGCTGACCCCAAATTCGGTTTTTTCATAAGGCCACACAGGGCAACAGTACAGACAGAAGGCCAAGTTCATCTGTATTCACATAGAAAGGTGAGGGTGTAGATATTTTTAAAAGTAATTATGGTCCACAGGAGTGAATCTAAAAATAGAGCTGCAGCTTGTATGCCATAGCATTAGGGGAGGAATAACCTAAGCGGAACCAGGCCAAGAGTTGCTGATGAAGTCCAGATGGCCCCGTGGCTGTGGGGAAGGATCAGGCAGGGGTGACAGGGAGAACAGTCAAGGAACCAAGCACAGGGAGAGCCCTGGGGCTGGGCCATGCACTGCCTGCTGGCTTAGTGTCCAGACCCAGGCTTCTGGGCCACCTACAGCTGGTAGTGGTGGAAATGGCAAATCCCAGTAATTCCTGGAGGTGTTTACCAGATACTAGGAATTCTGGGACTTAAGGGACACACTATTTTTCCAGAAAATAATCACCTGCTAATTTTTGTAGAGCTATATAATTAAAAGTACACTCTTCTTCTGTTTTCACAGTGGCTTGAGGTATTTTCCTACCTCAGCAGCTTCATGGATAAAACTGATACAATACCTTCTAGGGACACCGAGAGGACCAGTGAAAGAATGTGTCTAGCAAATGCCTAGCACACAGGAGGTGCTTTTGATTGTGGACGGTGAGGTTCAGAGATGCTGTGTACCACCTGGGGGTTAGGAGTGCAGGCTCCGCCGCCAGACTGCTAGGTTCAAGCCAGTTCCACCAATCTACCCATTAAACCTTGTACTAGTTACCCACATAGTCTCTGTTTCTCCCGGTGTAAAATGCAGATGATGCCTGAGTCTTTCCTTTGTGGTTGTTGGGAGGATTGAATGAAATAATACATGGAAAACCCATAGAATGGTTTCTGGCATCTAATCACTATTCGATAATCATTAACAAGTTCTATTAAATATGACTTCCCTAAAATCCCCCAAACAGCAAGCAGATAAGCCCACACCAGACTCCAGGCCAGCACTTTTCCTTCTACACCAAGGCAGCTTCCGACGGTAATGGCATGGACATTAACCCAAAGAAAAGGAACTAACATTTACAGAGGGCCAACGGCATTCCAGACCCTGACATCAAGACAAAGTACTTCTCAGGTACAAGGAGGCTGGGGGTTGGGGGTCGGGTGGGGGGGTTAGTCACTTTCCTAAGGTCACAGAACTAATAACTGGGGGATGTGGACATCGAACTCTCTGACCCCAAGTATCATGATCTTCATCTGTATCAGTGGTTCTCAAAAACTCTTATATGCACCCAAACCACCTGGAGGGCTTGTTAAAAACCAGCTTCCAGGCCTCTCTCCCAGAATTTTGACTCATTAGGCCTGGGGTAAGGCCTTGGAATATGCATTTCTAAGAAGTTCCCAGGTGCTGGTCTGAGGACCACAAGGAGAGACCTTGGTCTATACTAAGCTGCCTTTCCCCAGGATGACTCACTGTGTCGACAGACTTGGTACTCACAACATCTGCACAAACTCTGCCAAACTCTCAGGCTGCCAGGAGCCCCAGAGGAGAGCCCCAGGGCTACCCCACCCCACGTTCATGAAATATGTCTTTGTTAAGCTCCTCAGGTCCCCCTGACACACTACCTAAGGTCTTGTCAGAGCGACACAGACTTCTGTCAGGCACAGTCTATGATTTCAGAGCCAGAAGTGTCAGTTGGTGTTTTAGTATTTATTCATTTGACAGGAAACATACATTTGATCCTATGAACACACCATGCTGCTGGCTTACCTAGTTGCTGTTGCACAACAGAACTCTCTGGAAGATGTTGCCTGGTCAACCAGGGACAGCCCAGCCACTGCAGGGAAGAACCCTTCCCCAAAGAAGAGACGTGCTGCCAGGCCTTCCCTGGGGTGCTTGTGCCCCCACAGTCTTGCAGAAACAGAACATTCACACTCGTCGGGCATCGTCAAAACAATGGCCGTGCTGGGAGGAGAGGGTGTTCTGAACTAAAGGACAGTCTTAAAACCATAGCGTACCAGACAATCTATATACATTACAAATATATAAATTAAGAGGACTACATGTATACAAAATCTTTCAAAGGGGACTTAATTTCATTCTATGTCATGCCAAGTATTTGTCAGAATCTTGAAAACAAAGGTTGTTTTCAGTGGAGCTGATATTAAAAATAGGAGATATTTATACACAGGCCCGGCCTCTCTCGTGTCCGTTGTGGAATCCTCTGGTGTTGTCGGGGCCTCTGGGCAGCCTCAGCACCCGCACAGGGAACCCGTCTGCAGCCTGCACCTTCCGAGAGAGCAGGGGACTCGCGCCAGGGCTCTTCTCCTGTGGCCCCATCTCGGCTCGGCGGCGCCGCCGAACCCAGGGGCTGCCGGAGGGGGTGGTGGCGCTGCTGTCCGAGGAATAATCTGTGCACTTGCGGAGGATCTCAGGGCTGGTCCCAGAGTTCAACCTACCTTCCTCAGCCAGTGGGGATTTTCTGGAAACGCCTCTGCGTTGAGCCAAGGGGCTGCTCCAAGGACTCGAGCATGGGGAGGCATTTGGGCTCAGAAAGAGATTCTGGTGGCCAGAAGGGCTGAGCTTGTGGGTGACCGCATGCCGCCGGCCAGCCATTGGGGATGTGGGGTTGCTCTCAGGGTCGGAGGAGCTGTTGGCGGAAGACTCATCACCCATGTATTGAAGCTCCTCAACTCTCTTGTTCAGGGACTTGCTCGGGTGGATGCTCGCAGTGGGCTCCTCATCTTGGTTCTTGTCTTTGGGAGGTTTCTTTTTGGGTGGCTTCATCCCAATCAGGACAGCTTTCATGCTCTCCCTGCCCTGAGATTCTGTGATCATGAACTCATGGGCTCTGATGGCCGCCTCCACCTCCTCAAACTCCACGATGGCGCACTCTTGGGTCCCCACCTGGCTGTACCGGCTGCTGATCCTCCGGATATCAGGGGGCAGCTCTCTCCCAGGCTTGAGGATCCGCACTGAGGAGATGACGCCAAAGGTGCCAAAGAGCTTAAGCAGGTGTTCCATCACCTTCTCCTGCACCCTTCCATTCTTCTGGGGGGCAGCCAGGGCCCACAGCTTAGGGGACAGGTAGAGGTCATAGACCAGAAGCATCTTGCTGGGGAGGTTCTCATTGGGGAAGAGTGGGACAGGGGTGGTCCTCCTCACCTTCCGGTGGTCCTCATTCAGCTCGAGGATCCCTGAGTACTTCAAGGCATGTGCTGTGGTTCTCCAGTCCCGTGTGAGGTGCTTCACCTGAAGAACACAAAGGAAACCTGGAATGGTGCCTGTTGCACCTGTTGGCCTGTGTCCTCTACACCTCCCTCCCTGCCTCCCTTCCCTGTGACACTGGTACCCAGAATCACACCTGCTGTGTGCAGGCACTCAAAAGTCTACTGAATGAACAAACACACTTTCTACAGCCAGGCCACAGAGCTTATAGAAGCTTTCTCATTAGAACTTTCTGGGGCTAAGGAAATATTCTATTCTGGGCCAGTTTAGAAGTTAAACTGCAGGCTCTGGAACATGGCCGATGGGCACCCAGATCCAAGGCCCACCTCCAACTACATGAGAAGTTATTCAACCTGTCAGTGCCTCAACGTCGTCATCTGTAAAATGGAGATGTTAACAGGGCCCACCTCAGACAGTTGTGGGGATTGAATGAGTAAATATATACAAATCTACATCCAGACACACAGTGTCTATCTAAAAAACTTAGAATAGTGTCTGCTCAGAGTGAGTACTCAGTAAGCATTATATGCTATCATTTCCAAGGTTGCATGCTGTCATTTTCATAGGAGTCAGAGATTTTAACATTCAAATGCTTCTCTGAATTGTATTTCTGCATTTGGTACACAGAAGGTTTCCAAAAGAGCTTTCATATTTCACTGCAGCATCTCCTGAAAATGATGTGGACTGCTTCAACTTGGAATTAAGCCCAGCTGGGGCCTCACGGAGAGTGATGGAAGGCCCTCCCTCCTCCTGCCTTACTGGAAATTATGCGTATCAATGTTGCAGTATATGAAAGCTATTATTTATATTGTAAAACAGTAATTTTCAAGCGGCCTAGTTCCAGTGAAGGGAATGCCAGGGAGAATGAGTCACCCCAGAGAAGTGGTGGTGGTGGAGGTGGGGGTGGGTGGGGTGGGGAATGTCAGCCAGGAATGGCGAGATCACTCTGAGTCAACTCTCTGACTCCAGGCCAATGCAGAGGAAGCCACTTGCTCCACAGAGGAACTCGGAGACCAAAACAGGAACTTCCCGGGACTCAGGAAGGGAGGGCTCACTAACAGGCGGCAGGGGCAACCTCCGCAGAACCACTAGTAGGACAGGCAGGCTCCCGGACAGACGGCACCGGACACAGACAGGCCTCGGGGCCATATGGCCCCGACTTGGGCTTAGGGTGCAGGATCCATGAATCACCTACACCCCGAATGAATGAGTTGATTACCATGACATAGGCCAAGGGTACAGAAAAGCAGGTCCAGGCAAAGGTCAGACTTCAAGTGGACAGAGTCCATTAGGGATGCAGGAAGGGTGAAGCTGCTGACTGTAGGTCAGTGCCAGCTTGTGTGAGATTCAAGCAGTGGCTCTCTGGGGGTGACAAATGGGGCTCCTTTTCCAAAACCAGTCATGCAGGGAGTTCAGGAGAGGAAGAAGAGCTACTGCCCAAGCCCGAAGCCTGAGCGAGCAGTGCTCAGGGACGGGCCAGGGCTGCCTTACTCGGAAGGCTAGAGAAGCGGATGGCAGACCGCGTCCAGTCGAGGGAGAGGCAGGCTCTGCAAGGACCCAGCACCCCTCCAGAGCCAGGAGCAAGGTCCCCCGGGAAATCTCGGTTATCACTGAGCATCCTAGGCCTGTGTCTGGGGTCTTCAGGAGTACGCAGGTGCAGTCTTTGTGTGATTACTGGACGAACTCTGTAAGATTTTCAGAAACTGTAATTTCCCTGTTTGTTACCTTTGTCATATATGTTCCCTATTATGATGAGCCGGAAACCCTTTAGAATGAAATGGGCTTTTGTTCTCATTTCGGATGTGTTGGGGAGTCTATGTCCCCTCTACAGCCAGTTTTCGACAGAGAAAAACTCTCCTATACACAAGCAAACTTCAGAGATATTGCGGATTTGGCTCCAGACCACCACAATAAGGCGAGTATCACTGTAAGTGAGTCAAATGAATTTTTGGGTTTCCCAGCTTATATAATAAAAGATATGTTAGCACTATACTGGGTCTATTAAGTGTGCAATGGCATTATGTCTAAAGAAAATGCACATGACTTCAATAAGACATACTTGATTCCTAAAAGATGCTGGTCATCATCTGAGTTTTCAGTGAGTCACAATCCCTGATCACAGATCACCATAACAAGTATAATAATAATGAAAATGCTTGAAATATTCCGAGAATGACCAAACTGTGACTGACAAACATAAGTGAGCAAATGCTGTTGGAAAATGGCGCTGCTGTGTTTGCTCAACCCAGGATTGTCGTAAACCTTCAATTTGTAAAAAATGCAATAGCTGCAAAGTATGATAGAGTGAAGTGCAATAAAACAAAGTAAGCCCACAGATCCACAAGTGGCAGTTGAAAAGGAAAGGAAATTGGGCTGACTTATAAGAGACCCTGAGGAGGAATAACGGACTGTACAGGAACACTCCACTGGCTGCTTCATTTGCGGTTCTCCACAAACACTTTCCGTGTGAGGGCTTGCCCACTGTTTTCTGGACATGTGTGGTAGTTATTTATAATAAGAAATATATATATTTGGTATTTGTCCCCATTCCTGGCCTTGAACTCCCAAATTTATTCTTGTAAATTCCTAAATGAGAAGACCATTAGGAGCCTCTTTTGTTCTGATGAGATGACTCTGGAGGGGCTCCCAGATGGCTCCTGCTGGGGGCTGGTCACCAGGAAGACCATGCCATGATCAGAAGCTTGTAATTTTTAGCCCTGCCCCTTACTTTCCAGAGAGGGGAGACAGGCAGGAAATGGAGTTAACAACTGATCACACCTACATGGGTGTGATCGCCCACAAACCACCTACATGGGGAGGCCTCTGTAAAAATCCCAGCTCTGTGGGGTTCAAAGAGCTTCCAGGTTGGCAAACACAACCACAAACTGGGAGAGGGATGCACCCAGACTCCATGGGGATGGAAGCTCCTGCGCTCGGGACCCTCCCAGACCTCATCCTGTGTATCTCTGCATCTGGCCGTCCATCTCTGTCCTTTATCATATCCTGTATTAAACTGGTAAATGTAAGTGTTTCCCTGAGTTCTGTGAGCTGTTCTAGAAAATAACAGAGTCTAAGAGAGAGGAGGTCATGGGAACCTGATTTACAGCCAAGTCAGGCAGAGCCTAGTGGTTTGGGGGTAACCTGGGGACCTAGTACTTTGTGATTGGCATCTGAAGTGGAGGCAGTCTTGTGGGACTGAGCCCTTCACCTATGGGGTCTGATTCTATCTCCAGGTAAACCGTATCATAATTGAGCTACATTGTAGGACACCCATGTGGTGTCTCAGAATTTCATGCTGTGGGAACCACCCCCACCCACAGATCTGGTGTCAGAAGTGTTGTGAGTATGGCGTGAGGGTGAAGGAGGAACACAGAAGGAAGAGTGGGTTTTCCCTTTACAATATGAAATGCCCCTTCTCTTCTCCTGTACCTTGAAAATTCCTACTCATCCTCTAAGATCCTATTTCAATGTTCCCACTTCTGCAAGACTTTCAACTATCCAGGCAGGGTTAGTTGCTCTGATCCACTAGCTCCCAACAGCACTTTGTTCTTTCTGGTAGTACCATCCGGGGTTATATCATAATCCTTCACTGAAGCCTCTCCTGTACTGGCCTTTTCAAGGACAGGGGGTATGCCGCTTTCATTCCGCATATCCTGTGCTGACACAGCCCTCAGCACAGAATGAGTATGTTTGATGAATGAACAAAGGCGAGAACAAGAAAAGAGGGCCCATTATATCAGCAGGTGAGGAAGAGAAGAGCTCCAGGAAGAAAAGCTCTCTCCAGTTCTCTCCGACAAAGTGCACAGGCACCTCGGCTGGGACCCACTCATTACACATCCCGTTACGTAACAGGCTGTGTGGTGCTTTTCCGTCCTAGTAAATATGCTCCCCCCAAGGAAGTCACAGAGTTCTTACTCCAACTGGTGTCAGCTCTTCGAGAGGTAGGGAATTCACAGTCCAGTTGCTGGATCCATACCTTACGGGGACACGCAGTCAGCTGCCTGGACAGTGGCAATCATTAGAAATCCCACATCTCCATCCGGTAGGAGAGGATGTTGGGGTTACACAGCAAAGGCTGATAGAATCTTCGAGAAGGCTCATCTCCCAGAGTTCTGGGCACTCCTTCTTCTTACTTATTCAACTTGACAAATGAAAAGCCTGGATTCCACACAACACTAGGCCTGGTAGGTGTATCTTAAGGCCACTGGTGCCTTGTCCTGGCCCTGCATCCTCCTGGCCACTTACCTGCCTGACAAGAGTGCCTGAACCTTACTAAGAGCAAACAGCGTCATTTCATAAATGCCACCAGCTGAGAAGTGTCCCGATACCCAGGACCTTTTAAAAGTGTGGGAGGATATTCTTAGTTATGATTCTGAATCCCAGAACTTGACCGTTTTTCTCTTTATCAGGCCTTGGAGGAAATAAAAAAAAATCGCTAGTCATCGGGTTCCATCAAGTGGGTAAGAAATATTTAGAACTACAACCCCAAACACGCAAACATACTTCTGAGCATGAAGCCTCACCTTTTTGAAGGACGTGAGTAGTTTAACACTCACGTATCCCAGCTTGTTCCTCCTCACGTGCTTCAGCAGGAAGGCGTCCCTCTCCAGGTTTTCATCAGAAAAGTAGAATTCAATCTGATCCACGAGTTTCCTGATTAACTCCTCGTCTGGGGGCTTCCAGTCCTGCTCTGCGTCCTCCTGCTCTGCGTCCTCGTGCTCGTTCTCACTTGCCGTCAGGCCACTGAGAGCAGAAGGAGACGCTGCCTGTTACGGGCTGACGTGCTTTGCCCTCAGATTTCCTCTGTCGCAGCCCCAGCACCCCTGCCCCCGACCTCGGAATGTGACCTGATTTGGAAATAGGGTCTTGCAGATGTAATTAGCTAAAGATGAGGTCATACTAGCATCCCGTGGGCCCCAATCCACCATGACTGTTGAAAGGGGAGATCTGGAGGCACACTTACAGGGAGACGCTGTGTGGAGATGAAGACAGAGACCAGGGGAATGCAGCAGAGGTGAAGGAGCGTCAGAGATCGCCCACAAACCACCAGCAAGCAGTTCGGGGAGAGGCCTGGGACACAGCTTTCCCAAGCACTCTGAGAGGCAGTGTGGCCCTGCTGATACTCTGATTTTAGACTTCCTGCCTCCAGGACTGTGAGGCGATACATTTATGATGTTCTAAGCCACCGGTTTGTGGTCCTTTGTTACAGCAGCCCTAGGAAACTGCACTGGGTCACATGAGCACTGCTCAGAGGTGGTGACCACTGGCCACAAGGGGTAAGTGCTGTGGCCAAACAGCTAGAAATCAAGCTCTTGTGCAGATTATTATTGCAACGCCCTCTACTAACATTTATGTGCTACTCTGATATTGACAGGATGCTTTTTACATATAGTTCTTGTTCTTCCCTTCCCATCTCATCCCCCATATCCCAATTTCCGGAAGACAGTTTAGAGGAATAACTACTCTCAATTCTAGAGTTAGACTCCACTGACTGATGAACGGATAAGCAACATGTGCTATATACCTACAATGGAAAAGTATTCAGCCTCAAAAAGGAAATTCTGACATGTTACAACATGGATGATCCTTGAGGACATTATGCAGAGAGAAATAAGCTGGTCACGGAAGACACATACTGTATGATTCCACTTGTATAAGGTACCTAGAGTAGAAAAAATCAGGGAGGAAAGCAGAATGGTGGCTGCCAAGGGCTGAGGGAAGGGTGAATGGGGGCTTAGTGTTTACTGGGTACACGATTTCAGGTGGGAAAGGTGAAGAAGTTCTGGAGACAGATGGTGATGGCTGCACAGCAATGTGAAGGTACTGAATGCAGCTGAACTGTACACTTAACAACGGTTAAGCTGATACAGTCTATGTTACGTGTATCCTGCCATAATTGTAAGTTTTTTTAAAAAGGAGCCCTTCAGTACAAAAAAGTATGCATGTTTACACATATTCTATGTTTCCTTTATAAAGAAGCAAACAGTTAACATTTCCCTCAGCTCAGAATTAAGCTCTTAAATAAAATAACCAACCAATAAAAAAGGGAGGGTCTCAGAAAGTAAAAGTAAACTGTTACTGTGACAGTTTAAAGCTGGAAAAGGGGCATATATATAGGACCTCCAATCTAGGAGGATGTTCACTGGTTCTCAATCCCAGCCTTCCTCTGACAAAAAGCAATTGTGGAACAATCAAAATGAGAATCAAGATGGAATATTCTGGCAGGAGAGAAAAAACTAAATCTATTTCACAATATTTTAAGTTCAGAAATTGCAATTAGCACAAAATAGAGGCATTGGCCAAGATTTAAAAAATGAAGAGTTTTTAGTTATTTGTCTGTAGACAGTCTGGAAATGGTTTCTAAAATATATTCCTGATGTCCCAAGACAACTGTGTACTGAAGAATAAAAATAGCCTAAGGGACTAACATTGAAGAGTCTTTTTAAAATGGGATGATAAACTAAGGAAATATATTAAGGAGCCCATAAGACAAAATAGGTCATATTAACTTAAATGGGATAAGTGGAATATTTCAGAAGTCCCTAACAGGCACACAAGAGTCTGACTTGGCCAACATTTAATAGCAAACTCGCACTTGTCTTCTTTTACTACAGAGGCTATTAACAAAACCTAAATGCACACTTTCCCAGCCTCTCTTACAGGCAGTAGCCATTTGTCATGTTATGGCCAATAACACACAAGTGAAAATCTTTTGACCCCACCCCTTCCCCCTTTTACCTGTTTTGAGGGTGGATGTGATGACTGGAGCTGTAGCAGCTATTTCACCACCATAAGGAAAAAGCCAAGAGAATTGGCTTGGCCTGATTTATTGACATTATTGACTCTGACATTAACTGAGTTGCTGAACCAATTCCTATAAGTAACTACCTGCAGATTTCTCATTATGTAAGAAAAATAAAATCCTATTTGTTCAATTCACTAGTTAGTTGGGTTTTCTATTACTTACAGCCAAATACTAGGATAGTAACACTACACTGAGAAAAGAGGTCCTCAAAATATGTCAAAGGAAAAGTGTCAGCGGAACAATTAATGGAATGAAAAAGGAGAAGCAAGATGGATAGGACAAATTTTCATTTTATTAGAATAGTAATTAAAATAGATAGGTTGAATATACCAGATAAAATAACCACCAATGTATAGGAAAGTCTGAGCCCAGCTAATAAGGATGACAATAAATAGCAGGGGATAGATTAAGGTATGTGATAAGGACTAGAGAACAATTTTGAGTGGACTCAGGGATGTGAGCAAAATGGTCTAACTATTACAAATTGCTTGTATATCAGAGGTGAGGTGCTAGACTACTACAGGGACCCACAGACCAGTAGGCCCTACTCCCAAACTAGAGCAGTTAATACTATTATAAAAAACAAATGCATAAACAAATAAACCATAATGCGAGGAAGGTGCTGTAATTTCTTAATTTCTCCAGCGTCTGTTCTAAAGCCTCCTGTTCTTTCCAAGGCTGGCCATGGGAAGACTATTCCCTGGAGACAAGCCCATCTCAGACTGCACTGAGGAGATAAAGTTCATCCACCCGGACGCGCCTAGACCTCCCTTGTGCACTGCCTCTGCTGCCCGCAAAGCTTGTTCTGCGTGTCTGGACATCCACCCTAAGAATCCGTTGGCCATATCCAGGTACCTGTTTCCCATCTTGGCCCTGCTGCCCTCGCTGCAGGAAGGGACACAGTTGACACCTTCGTGATACTTTTCCCCCTGGCTTATATGACTTGCTTTTTTCTGATTCTTCTCCCAATTTACCTGCCCTCCCAATGGCCTTATTCTCTTCCCATTTCTGAATATTGGTTTTGTCCAAGCAGCTATCCCTGACTCTTCCCTAGCAACCTGTGCACCTCATCCCCTAGTTAGCTCATCCAGTTAAACGTGCCTCTCCTCCCACCCTTCTATCCTCTCACTCCTGATTTCTAGAACTGAATTCCCAGCGGCCGACCTGACGTTACCACTTAGAGAGCCTGATACTGCTTCAAATTCACCATGTCCAGAATCGAACTATCTCCTTCTGCAGAACTTGACCTCAGTTAGGACTGAAGTCTGGGCCTACTAAGCGACATCCTATCTGGAAAGCTCATCTTCTTTTAATACTGTCTCACAGTAAACATCCCATAATGTGCTGGGGAGTGGCCTGCATCAGTTATTTGCACCCAGTGAGCAAACAGGCAGGTAGCCAGGGATTCCAGAACAGTGGGCAGTACTGGGGAGGTGATAGAGTAAAGAAGTTTATACCCCTTAAGTATAAATATTGGCAACTTTTTGTCAATACAACCATCCTGTAAAAACCATATATCTTCCCTCCCAAACTGCCCCCCCCCAGTTTCCCTGTTCATGCCTCTCTGCACTTAGGCTCAAAACCTATGACGCAAGTTCCAGCCCCCTCTTTTGTCCCCACATTGAGTCAGTTATCAAGTGTTGACCTTATTCTGTAGTGTCCCCATCTGTTCTCTTCTCCATTCCAACTGTCCTCCTTACTCCTCCCTTGAACACTATTAATAGCTCATCAAAAATGTATCTTAAAAATTCAAGTAATATACATAAATAGCAAAAGCTGAAATAAAATAGTTCGGAGTTGAGAAAGAACACAGTACCCCACCCCACCTCTCCTCCCCAGAAGCAACCTCTATTCCACCATTTACTTCTTATGAGAGTTGCTTTATACTTCTAGAAAATATGCTCACAGCTCTATTTTCAACTTTCCACATTGTATCAGATGTACCTTTACTTTATTTTGTCATGGTTTATGACATTTACATTCTATTCTGTTACTAGTATCCCATGTTTTGTCTATTGATAGTTACTAAAAGTTGAAAGTCAATCAACTTTTTTTATGACTACGTGAACACTATTTGCTAAGATTACATTTCTTTCTTGAAGTTCTGTTAGTTGACCGACCACCTGATTTGATTCTCCATGTTACTTATTTTTCCTTCATGCTGTCTAGCCTTTCCTTTGTTTTTTATTTACATTTTAAGAGATTTCCTGGACATTATCTTCCAACCTTTCCTAGTGAATTTTTTCAGATTATTTAGATAAATTCAGAAATCATTTATTTATTCTGTGAGAATTATTTTATGCTGTCAGATTGCTCCTTTTTAAAAAGCATCCTGTTCTTGCTTTGTGGATACAATATCTTAATTTCTCTCTCAGGGTACTAACAGGAATATATATATTTTTACAGTCTTATTGTTTCCAACAGTGGTTCACCTCTGCATCCTCTGGGGTCAGTTTTTACAGTAAACTTTCATGTCATTTATTTTCTTTATGTGACTGGTAAACTGTTCATCTTTTTCTTTATTAGAACATTTTAAAAATAAACTTCTATTAGAATAGTTTTGTGAAATTGTGAAAATAGTACAGAGGGGTCCATCTACCCCACATCAGGCTTCTTCCATTATTAATGCCTAGCATTAGTATGGTACATTTAAGGAACTAATATTGACACATTATTATTAGTTAATGTCCATACTTTGCTCAGGTGTCCTTAGTTTTTACCTAGTGTCCTTTCCCTCTCTGCGGACCCCATACAGGACGCCGTACCGGACGCCCCATCACACTCAGTCGTCATGTCTTCCAAGGCCCCTGTTGGCTGTGACGGCTTCTCAGACTTCCCTTGTTTTTGATGACCTTGACAGTGTTCGGGAGTATTGGTCAGGTAAACTGTAGAATGTTCCTCATTTGGGATTTGTCTGGCTTTTTCATAATTAGGCTGG